CATGAAGCTCTGCCTACTCGGTCTGCTGTACAGGCTGTATTCAGGCAGGCTCACCTTCTATACAGCCTCAAGCCAAGACGAGGAAGAGAGAAATGGGCCTGGAATGGTCTAAAATAAAATGCTGATGGGGAAAAGTTAAGTTTAGATCCATGCAAACAGCAGCAGAAGCACTGAGGCACCTGAAGTTGGCACCAATTCCTCAGAGCCGCCACTCGTCCCCTTCTAGTCCCGTTCTGTCTATATTCCTCAGGTAAGTCTGGCAATTTGTTTTTAATGAGCACAGTTCAATGTCTCCTGTAGAGGTGATCATTTTGCTACAGTCAGACACTCAGCATTTAGTTTTTGTCTTTCCATCCTGCTGGACCCTGCCAGCAGTCACTGCTGGCTGCCCTGTGCTCCCAACAGGGGAGGAGCTGAATGTCCTTCAGTACCTATTCCCTCTCCTATTTCATGGAGCTAGAGAACAAAACTGGAGTGAAAAAAGTCAGATACCAAGGTCAACAAGGGTGAAGGGTGAGCAAAAAAGAACGATTTGCTCAGCCAGCCTAACTTACAGTGCTGCACAAGCAACACCCACTGTCCCATCCACAAGTTACAGCTGCCTCTGCCTGAATCAATTAAGGACATACAGTCACTGTTCTGGAGTATGTTGAATATATTACAATGCCATGGCATTTCCGTTAGTGCCCTGTATATAAACAGTCTCTACCAAAGTGATTTTTGTGCTGTTGTTAGATCCATAGGTAAGACTTTCTTTTCTCCGTGGAACAAAAGAAAGGGGAGAAAGGAAAAAATATAAATCCTACAGAAAGATACTCCTAATACACAGATTCAGTATCAAGCTCTGGCAAGTGTATCCCTGGCGCTACCCTAGGTAACAGAGAATGTGCCTCCTGTTACAACAAACCCTGCCTTTTACCACCACGGCTGGCTCATCCCACATGGAGCCAGGAAGGAGCTTCTACAAGCTCTGCAATTTTCAAAACAAAGGAAATGCATCTGCTGAAGAAAAAACAATTCCAACAGAACTGTTATGTGACTCCTTTCTTATATTTTGCTCCAATCCACCACAGTGCTATGAGTGTGCCAAGCATGTTCTGTGTTCCAAGCATATTATAAGGACACTTTTCTTAGAGAACTGTTTAGACTGGATGAAGGACATTAAAATTCAGTTGACATTCAACCAGGTACCCCTTTAAGCCTCTCCTGCCTGAACCTTATTCAAAGATGCAGAGATGCTCCTAGTGCTGTGGGACCAGACGTTTACATAACCATCCTTTTCCTCTTAGCCATCACTGAAACGGATTATGGATGTTACACATACTATACACTCAGCTAATCATCACCATTCTGCACTAAACCTCCAAAACAACACGCATACAGTCTTCCTTCACTTACTGCCCTCTTCTAACACTGTACACAAGGATTTCAGACCACAAACCTCACTTTCTTGCATATCTGCAAACACCAAACATTGTTTTGTTAATAATCTCCCATGCACCACCACCATCTCTTAAGTTAAGTTCAGCACACAGATTCAGTAGGTACAAGTAATACAACTGAAAACACTCAAGTTTATCAACTCTTGAGGATTCATCTAATGCCACACCAAAAAAAAAAAAAAAAAAAAAAACCCACACCAAAAACCCAAATCCTCACCATCAGCCAAATGCATTACTCTTGATTACCACTCAAATCCAAAAAGAATTTGGAATTTGATATCCCAGAGGGCACACAAAGAGCAGCCCGGGAAGAAAAAGCTGGCAGAGCCTTTTTGTACCTAACGAAAATGCACCAATGAAGGAAACAGCAGACAGCACAATGCTTTCCAGTCATATGAAGCCATTTCTGCAATGTTCCAAAGCCCCTGAAGAATTATGCACATAAGGGGAAGAATCGTAGGAACGTAAAAAGGAGATTCAGCTTCCCAAATTCTTCTGATAATGCCTAAGAAATAGATACTCAACTGAGTAAGAACTTCTGGACTGAACCTAATTGGTGGTGGTTTTCAGTGTGTTGTTACGCTGTGGTTTGTTGGGTTTTATTTTATTTTTAAGAGTTTGTTTTGATATGGTTGGCTATGGTTTTTAAACTAATAGCGAGCTATTTTCTTTTTGTCATCTTAAAAAAAAAAAAAAAAAAAAATCATTGGCTTCAAGTCCATAAAGCACCTCACAATGCTTCACTAGTAGGAAAGAAAACGCAACTTGGAAGCAGTTCCACTATCAGTCCCTCAAACTGTAGCTACTACCAAATGCAACAACAATAGGTTATCTGATGAAATTATTCAACACGTTCAAAAATGCCCTGCTGCCACCACAGTCACCTGTAATTATGGGGGGAGTTAAGACTAGAAATGCAGTACAGTGTTCAAAGACTACTCCATACACATCTAGTCCTCATTAAGTTAATGAAACTACACTAATATAGAGGGCAATGGCAGCAGGTCTCATTCCAGGAGTAGAGTTTTAGCCTTTAAGTAGAGTGTATTCCTAAGGAATAATGTAACACAAACTTAGGATGCCCGGAATGCAGTGTGTCACCAGCCAGTTTATTAGTGGAATGCAAATGATAAAATGCTATGTTAATTATTTGAGAAGTGATGCTGAAATGGTAAGCAGGTACAATCTGCTGTAATTCTGGAAAGAAGTCAACCAAGCATCATAGAAGAGAAGACTGGATCAAACTACATCTACACACGAGCACAAAGCTTACTGAAGGAATTTATGTACAGCAGATCCTCAGCATTTCAAAGGTAGGACAGGAAGACCACATTTTAAGAAGCATCAATTACAATAGCTTTATTATTATTATGAGAGGGTTAGTTCATGCATCTGATACTTTGAAACATAATTATTACAATACTCAAGTAATTCATAGCAGATTTAGTAAACGTGACAGAGCCTTCATAATTCAACACCCCACCACAATGATGCCATCTCCTACAGAAGAATGTTGTGTTGTTCTTTTTTTTTAAATGCAAATTACAGAGCGGGTGGATAAAGAGAAATGCAAACTGCAAAATCATACAAGTAAATAAAAACATACATAAGCAAGGTGACAGCCTGCAAGTGCTTCTCTTTAAAAAGCAATCAAATAACAATACCGTTTTCTCTCCTGAACAAGCTCCTTTGAAATAAAGAGGACAGTGATTTAAAAAAAATAAATAAATTAAAAAAAATAAAAAGGGACTGAAAATGAGTTTTCAAGTGTTCTTTCTACAAATTATATATTAAGTTACTGACTGCATTTAGTCATCTTAATTTCTACAGCACTTTGAACTTGATGAGGGAAACTGCAGCTAAAAACGCAGCAACTGAACAGAGTGATCCTAAGACAGATCAGAATATGCCTGTTCACTTGGTTAAATTATACTGACACTGGTGACATCTTCATTCAAATGTCTTTGTAATGACTCAATATTTAAACATTGCTATGGATAACAAGCTTCTTCCTGACCTGAAGAAACAGAGCATCTCCAGGCCTACACATCACTATCCTCATTACATCATAATGACAGGAAGAAACAGTTTTAATAGAAGCTAACTATTTTTTCTCCTCTCAAGATGCGTGTATCATCATAAAATGGAGTCCTTGCATATGAAAGGTGCATCCCAGCCCCCAGGACAGAGGGGTGCCATACACTGAGGCCGGGCTGAGAGGAAATCAGCACTCCATGACACAGCCAAGAGCTCCTCTAGCTGCTCTGAGAGCTGAGCACCCAGCTCCAAGCTGGGCAGGGGCTGCAGCCGGGCCATAACATGCTGACATGTGGAATTGGGGAAGGGGCTCAGAGCACAGACAGAGAGCCCCTAGCAAGAGATGAAGGAAAATAAACAGCTGAGAGAGTTGAAACTCAGTGATGAGAACACTCCCTGTATTTCTTCCCAAAAGGCAAAATATATTTTTAGTGCTTGGGGAGGGAGGGGCTGGGAAAGCTCAGTACTGTGGTTGTATTGCACTGTTCCTGCTCTCTTGACAAAATTCACTCCTTTGGGCTGCGGTAGAAAAGCTGTGAAGGAAACAATGACATGAAGCAACCAGACAATGCCATTACTTCAACAGCCTATTTATCCTACACATTGGACTATGAGCTGAAACAAGGCTCCGTCTTCCTATTACCACCACTATAGGTTATGCTCACAGAACAGAATTTCACCCTCAATAAAAGAAAAAGCACAGAAGAGCTCACTGCTTTCAGATTGAGTGCCTATAAATGCGAACCACCACATGGGGATAAAAGAAAATATTCTGCTGCAAGAATAAAGAGCAAGCTATCCAGTCACAGCCGTGACATTCCATTCCCCCTCAACTGAGCGATGTACGGAAACGATGGTTGGACAAGGTGATCTCGGTGGTCTTTTTTAACCTTAACTATTTTACGAAATGCGAGCACACCACCGGCAGAGCCCTCTGAACGGGCAGAGTTCCGCCATCCCTCCGTCACAGCACCGCGCAGGCTGGCGGCAGTCCGCCATCGGGAGCACCAGGAGTGCCCTTGAGAAACGTCCAGGCTGCAGCGGGTGCACAAACGCTCTCCCTGGGCAAACAGCGCAAGGGGATTTCTCTTTCTGCTCCTGACCCGGCATCACGTAAGGGAGATTAACTTCACACCAGCGTCAGAAGATAGCGTCGGGAAGGAACTAGCGAAGTTTGCGTGAAGCAGGCGGCTGAGACGAAACGCGAACAGGTTTAGGAGGAGGAAAAAAAAAAAAAAAAGAAAAAAAAAAAAAAAAAAAACCAACACAATGAGCAGAGGCAGGAACCCTGCGGGCTCGGCTTCGCCTTTCTGTTCCCCAACTCGGGGCCCCTCCGCCCGCTGAGCCCCGTTCCGAGCCCGGCGCCGCGGAACCGCCGGGAACCGCTGGGTCCTCCAGCGGGCAGCCGGGATTTCTCTCTCGTCTTCCCACGCCCCTCTTCTTTCCACGTTCCCTGCCAAAAGGGGCCCCAGTAAATGCTATTCCACGACAACGGCACGAAGGAAGGAGCGCGGCACTCACCATGTCAGCCGGAACGCTGCTGGACATCTTGATATCCCTCTGACGCTTTAACACCAACTTTGAAAGCAGAACGAGCAGCAGCGAGCAGAGATCCCCGGCCCGAGGCCGGCGTGGGGCGGCGGGGCCCTGCGGAGCTCCGGGCCGAGGGCTGCGCCGGGGGCGGCGGCTCCGTCAGTGGCGGTGCCAGGCGGGGCGGGCAGCACTGCGCCGCGACATGGGCTGCGCGCGGCTTTTCCCCCCTCGCGCTCTTCCTTCCCGGCGAATAACGACGGGGTGATTCACGGATAATGGGGCAGCCGTCACCTCCTCATTAAGCGCCGCGCTGCCGGCCCGACTCGCTGCCCTGGGGCCGGCGGGGCCCGGGGGAGGACGCCGGGCTCGGGCCTCCCCTAGGCGGGCTGCCGCATGCAACAGGCTCCGGCGGGGACGGCCCTGCAGCTCCGGGGCTTGGCGAGGCCGTTCAGCGGCTGTCGCCTCCCGCAACCTCAACTCTCATCGCCGCCGCCGCCGCCTCCTCCTCCTCCTCCTCCTCCTCCTCTTCAGCCCGCCCTCGCTCCCTCCTCCCCCTACCCCCGCCGGCACGGCAGGCTCGCCCCCTCCCCTCGAGCTTTAGCGGCGCTGCCTGGTCGCGCCGCGAGCCGAGGAAAAGCCTCCGCTCAGCGCGATGCCGGCCCACAGCCGCCCCCTGTCATCTTCGCCTCAAGCCAACATGGCGTCTGCCGAGCCCGGGCAGGGGACGCGGCAGGGGAGAGACGGAGCCCCCCACCCCTCCTCCCGCCGTCACGCGCCGCCACCCCGCGGCACCATGGGGCTTGTAGGCGGCCGGGAGGCGTGGCACGGAGGCGCGGCCCCGCCCCGCCCCGCCTCTCCGCGACCGTTGCTAGGGCTGAGGGTCATCCCAAAGCGTGCCGTTTTATGGACGAAAGGGCTCCTCTGAGGTTCACGGGGGAACTTATGACTTCCGTGAGGCTAAGAGGATGAAAAACGCGTCCCACCGCTAAGGCATGCCTGCAGGTCTTTTCAGGGTGCCCTGTGATGAAATCACAGAGATGCAAGGGACCTCTGGGGATCATCGAGTCCGACCATTCCTCAAGCAGGTTCCCTACAGCAGGTGCAAGAGGCCGAGAAGCAATTAAAAGCCACTGAATTCAGACCGAACGTAAGAACATGCTGGTTTTATGTGAAGGTGGCCAAAGACTCACAGAATCGCAATCATCAAGGTTGGAAAAGACCACTAAGATCATCAAGTCCAAGCATCAGCCCATCCCCACCGTGCCCACTGACCACATCCTTCAGTGCCACATCTCCACGGTTCTTGAATATCTCTGGAGGTGGTGACTGCACCACCTCCCTGGGCAGTCTGTGCCACTGCATTACCACCGTTTTGGACAATAATTTTTTCCTAATACCCAACCTGAACCTCCTTTGGCAAAATCTGAGGCCATTCCCTCTTGTTCTGTTGCTGTTACATGGGAGAAAAGGCCAAATCACATCTTGCCACAATACCCTTTCAGGCAGTTGTACAGAGCGATAAGGTCTCCTCCGTGCCTCCTCTGGACTGAACAATCCCAGCTCCCTCAGCTACTCCCCATCAGTGCTCCAGACCCCTCACAGCTTCGTTGCCCTTCTCTGGACACATTCCATGGTCTCAATGTCTTACTCATAGCAAGGGGCCCAAAGGTGCAGCCTCACACATGCCAAGTACAGGAGGTGCTCTCACAAGTTTCCCAGAGACCTACCAAACAAATTATCAAGGCTAGAAAGGTCCACTAATTAGAGGAGTGTGTGCAGATGCGTTTGTATTCCAGTGCTGTCAAGCCAACAAAGAAAAAAAATCAAGAAAGCAAAACAAGTGGATGGAGCTGTGACACATGCAGTCTAGTTCCCTCAGGAGCAGTTCTCTTGTAAAACCACAGGAAATTGGGCAGGTTTGTTTCCTTTCAAAGGGAACCCCCTAAAAGTTGGGGGCTGTTGTCCCTCTTTATGACTTCCCACTGTGTGCAACAATCCCTGGAGATGCTGTCCCCTACAGAGGTTATAACTCTTGAAGAAAAACTCCAAAGCAGTATGAGAGCAGTATTGGCTTTAAAGGACATATCTGATGGCAAGCATTTTGGTTAAAGGCACAGGAAGAGTTGGGGGGTTATCGGAAGTGACCCCACATTGCTGTCCATGCTGTTGCACTGCGTGACTTTAGTCTTTACCTCCCTGGATTGCTTATACTGCGAATTTCTGCAAGGGTTCTCTGGCATTTGAAGAGGCTGAGAGCAGGGCCTTGTCAGCCTGGAGAAGAGAGGGCTCAGGAGCTCTCCATGACATGTATAAATGCCTGATGGGATGAGGGAATGAAGAGTCTGTAACCAGGCTCTTCTCAGTGGTTCTCAGCAACAGGCCAAGAAGCAATGGGCACAAATTAAAAACTAGTGAATTCAACCCAAAGATAAGAAAATACTGTGAAGGTGGTCAAAAGCTAGCACAAGTTGCCCAGAGAATTTGTGGAGTCTCTGTCAGTAGAGAAACTCAAAATCCATCCAGACACAGTCATAGTCACCAACTGGGCATGGTTATAGTCAACCTGATGGGGCTGACCTACAGGTAGATTTGACTATGTGACCCTTCAGAGGTTGCTTTCAACCTCAGCCCTCCTGTGTCTGTGACTGAAGTTTTTGTACTGTGCATAGTCCTCACCAACCTGTCAGATCTTCAAGCCAAAGTGATAACAAGGCTTATAATTGCAGCAGTAACAGCATATTGCCGAAACATTGCTTTCTTTTTCTTGAGGGACAGAAAAAGTGAAAAGGTTCCTCTTTTTTTCCCTAACTTTTTGTAGATCCAACTAATAATATCCATAGATGAAGGCTGAAGGGGTGAGCTATGAAGGATGTCTCTTCATCTCTTCATTCCAAATAATAAGCATTCCTGAGTATGTATGTCTTCCTGGCTAAATCAGGAAGATATACATGCTGTATAGAGATTATACTTAGAAAATTATCAATTAAAAAACAAATCAACCAAAAAAAAAGAACCCCAAAAAAACCACAAGCAACTCAAGTATTTATTTACTGTTGTATGTTGTATGCTTAACAGCTTATGTGGACTCCCAAGATCTACTGCAAAGATGTCTTACAGACTAACCCATTGCTCCAAGATTACAGCAACCTTGTACGAGTGCCTTGAAGGGATCTCGGGTGCATTAGGAGGTGCCCTGCCTATGCCCACTCATATTAGGGATGAGAGCACGGGCATCACATCTGCTTCTCAGAAACCACAGCTGGGAGCTTCCAGCAGTCTCCTCATGTAACCTGAAGTTCGTGGCAACTCAAAATGATGTCCTGACCCTGCTGTGACGGCTGGGGGGAAAGATGCATGACCCTTCCCATCTCCTCTGCTTCCAGGAGGCAAGGCATACAACAGGGCAGTCTATCCTTCACAGCACACAGTATGAGTTGTCAAAGGCTATGTGGAAGTACCCATCAGTAGAGCAGGGAGAGGTCCATGTGCCCAAGCACAACAAGCAACCTAGAGTACCAATGAGCACAAGAAAACTGGGTGAGGGATTGGCAAGGCAAGGAGGCAGCAGTAGGACACATCCATCCATCGGCGAAGGCTCTTCTGAATTATTTAGATGCGGCACATTTGTGCTGCGTTAAGATAAGCACATCCATAGGATGGAACCTGAGGACAGAATGCAGCAGACACAGAGACCAAATCAGCATGACTGTGTATTTAACGTTCTCCCACCTCTATTTTAGCAATCCATTAAAAGGAAGGATCACACCTTCACTGCTGTACGTGAAGAGTCAGGGGCTATCATTGTCACTTCTGTTGGTACACTCAGGTCCGACAACTTTTCTGCCTTGCACTGTGCAAGTCAGTATCAGTTCCTCTCTTTGACACACAGCTGAGCTTTCCAAAAGATAGCATGAAAAATTACCTTTTTAACTCATTATTACGAATGTAAATCCACAATTGTAACTTCAGGCCAGGACATTTCTACCTTAGGTGCTGCACAGTATAAACAGATAAAAGAGTTTCTGTCCTGAAAGGTTGACAGTACTGTTTTTACTCCAAAGTTGACATTTGTTTCACATTTGTGTGACTTTTTTTCTCAGCTCTCAGCTATGATGATACGACACAAACGAATGGAGGACCCAGCACAGGTAATACATGCTGAAGATCATTTAAGGATGGTTGAGTGCTGGGCAAATGAATAAAAGGAGAAGCTGCACAATTATCCTCTTAGGAGTAGTGTGGGCCTGTGCCTTACACATGACAAAAGAGATAAGTTCCCACTGGATTTGTAGAGGGAGGTAATGTATTTGAAATACAGTGTGGTCGAGTATAAAACAGAAAAATATCTTTTTCTCCTTGGAACGTATTAAAAAAGGCTGTTATGATAGATTCATTTCACATTCACACAGAGAGGAAATGAGAGTTGTGGTCAGCAGTAGTCAGCTGGAACAAGGGACCCTGAAAAAGCACAGCTACAGCCTTGCATATGGGATCAGCTTGCAGCTAAACACCGAGCAAGTGCTGCAGGCACACAGAGCTGAAAAAAAATCTTTCCCACATCCAAGGACTAAGCAAAAAGGGAAGTGCTGTTTGAAAGAAGTGCTTGCAATATGAAGAGTTCTGTTTTTGGGGCCTAATTCTGTACTCAAACACACAAATCCATTTCCATTAGCTGTCACCTGCAGAACTGGCATGTGAATTTAGACATCAGGATACAAAATTATTCATCATCATCACCCTTTGTCAATTTATAGAAGAAAAAGATGGAGTGTACAACTCCTGTTTTTGCTCCTCATTTGAGGAATCTGACATGGCATGCATAGATGAGTTGAATCTTGCAGTGCTGTATTTATGTTGATAAGACTTGTGCCATATCTCTTTGGGTAGGCTGGGCTGTATTTTAGTGTTTAATTGCCACTGGTGCTAGTTGAAATCCAACTCTGTTTCAAGATGTGGAATAAAAGAATCTGCAGGAATAAAAGATCTGCAATTCTAAATCTGATCAATAGTCCAGCTGATGTGTTATCCTGTCTGTAGCAGTGGCCAGCATCAAATACTTCAGAGGAAGACACACAAAGCCCCAAAGTGGACAATCATGTTATAATCTGCTTATTTGGTTAAGTTTCTACTGCTGCCAAGGATGCAGAAGAGTCTGGTTTGTGCCCTGAAGCACAAAACTTCATGTCCTTTATATCCTTAATGGCAGAATAATCCATTGATAACATGTAAGAATGACCACCATTTTTCAAAAGAGCAGTGCTGTCTCCTGTTGGCTGATGTTGCTGGGGCTAGAGAACACATTGAATCCTCCCCCCTAAACTGGCATTAAAAGCTTTCAGACCCATAATATACTCTGGTGTTTTTCATTTGAGGCAGGCTGCAAACAGGAGCATCTTCAGGAGAAGGAGCAGTGACAGAAAGGAAATTACTTTTAAGGCAAGAATAGCCATGGCTTCTGGTTTCTCTGCAGGATTTTAGAGCAGCTTAGGAGGTGAAA